CGGCCTGGGTCGTGTCTGCCGGAGGTCCTGCGGGTGCCTCGCCACGACTGTCTCCCTGGAAAGAGCCTCTCTCACCGCAGCAGCTGCGTGAGTGGATTTTTCAGCGCACACGCCTTCGGAGTGGAGCTGCAGGAGCTGGAGGCTTTGCCACTGGAGGCACTGGAGCTGGAGGAGTTGGAGCTTTTAGTCTTGGAGGTTCTGGAGTTATTGCTGGAGCTGGAGGTACCGGAGGTGCTGGAGGTGCTGGTCCTGGAGGTGCTCGTACTAGAGGTACTGGAGCTGCCGGGGCTGGTGGTGTTGGAGGCGCTGGAGCTAGAGACACTGGACCTCGAGGCACTGGCGCTGGAGGCACTGGAGCTGGAGTTGCAGGAGCTGGAGACCCTGGAGCTGGAGGCACTGGAGCTGGAGACCCTGGAGCTGGAGGTGCTGGCGCTGGGGGTGCTGGAGCTCGCGGTACTGGTGCTGGAGGTACTGTGCAGCGGCGACCATTTTTCGTTCTGCCGCCACCGACGTCTCTGTCGCCACCCAACTCGGTCCTTCTCCAGGTTCTTAGTCTCCTGTCTTCTACCGGCCTTCCTCCTAGCTTACTGAGTCCACCGCCTCACCAGACGCAGCCACAGGTACAGCCAGACTCTCCACTGCCTGCTCCTTCTCCTTACGCTGAGCAGACATACGCTTTTAGAGAGCGTCGTGAGCCTGGGTCTCGTCCTGCCTTGCCTGTTCGCGATGTTTGCACTGGTCATCGTGTTTCTCGTCCGCGTCCTCCTCCTGTCCCCAGCACTCACGTTATGGCACTCCGTCCTCTGTTCCACTACGAGTTCCCCTGCCGCCTGCTCCTGCGTCCTCTCTTTCTGCCGTTCCTGACCCTGAGTCTAACTCAGCTCGTGCTACCAGTCCCACTGTCCCTCGTCTTCTAGCCACTGTTGTCAGTGACCCTTCGTTTGAGTCCATTGCTGCGTCTGCTCTAGTTGCTGAGCTTGTTGAATTTGCTGCCGCCTGTCGTCTCGACTACGCCACTGCTCGTGTTGCTGAGTCTGAGTCTGCCTGTCCTCCGTCCGTCGGGGGTGAGTGTGCTCTTGGCACGGACGTCCTTGAGGACAGGTAGGAGGACTTTGAGTGTCATGCAGCTGTTGTACCTCATCTCGTGGCCATGCTGCTTGCCCCTGAGGGAGACCCGGATGCACCAGACATCCCAACCCTGCGCTATTACTCAGAGGTGATTACGGGTCCCTACTCCTCTCAGTGGCAGACAGCCATGGACGCACAGATGGCATCCTGGAAGTCCACAGGCACCTACGTCGACGCAGTTCCCCCTTCTGGGGCGAACATAGTCGATGGCATGTGGATTTTCAGGGTGAAGCGGCCGCTGGGTTCTCCGCCTGTCTTCAAGGCTCGTTACTTTGCACGAGGCTTCAGTCAGCGACTGGGAGTTGACTTCTTCCCAACCTTCTCCCCTACCCCGAAGATGACCACTCTTTGGGTTCTGCTGCACGTTGCCACTCAGCGTGACTACGAGCTGCACTCTCTTGTCTTCAGTACAGCTTTCTTACATGGCAGCCTGCACGAGGAGATCTGGCTGCGCCGCCCACCTGGCTTCACTGGGTCGTTTCCAGCAGGTACCCAGTCTAGCCTCCGGCGGCTAGTCTACGGTCTCCGCCAGGCGCCTCGCGAGTGGCACGACACACTGAGGACGACGCTTGCGGCTCTTGGGTTTGCTCCTTCGACTGCTGACCCGTTGCTGTCTCTGCGTACCGACACTTCATTGCCGACGTTCTACGTCCTCGTGTACGTCGACGACTTGGTCTTTGCCACTGCTGACACTGAGGCACTGGCCCTTGTGAAGTCGGAGCTGCAGAAGAGACACACCTGCATTGACCTGGGTGAGCTGTGCAGCTATCTTGGCTTGCAGATAACCCGGGACAGAGCACGGCGCACCATCACCCTGACTCAGTCACACATGGTGCACCAGGTCCTTCAGTGCTTCGGCTTCCGGTACTCCTCACCACAGTCCACTCCTCTGCCTACCGGTCACTTGCTCTTAGCTCCACCTTCGAACGAGTCCGTAGAGCCGAGTTGTCTGTATCCAGAGCTTGTAGGCTGCCTCATGTACCTGATGACCTGCACTCGAACTGACCTTGCCTACCCTCTTAGCATCCTGGCACGCTACGTTGCGCCCATGAGACACCGACCAGAGCACTGGGAGGCCGCTAAGAGGGTGTTGCGCTACTTGTGCAGTACATTGGGCATGTGGCTCGTGCTTGGAGGACGGGGTCTAGTTGTCCTCACTGGACACACAGACGCTTCTTGGGTTGACGACTTGGCTACGTAGCGGTCATCACAGGGTTACACTTTCAGCCTTGGCTCCGGCTCTGTTTCTTGGCGGTCTACCCGCTCGTCTTTTGTTCTCAGTTCCAGTTGTGAGGCTGAGATCTACGGGGGGGCCATGGCTGCACAGGAGTTACGCTGGCTCACCTACCTGCTGACCGACCTGGGAGAGCGGCCTCGTTCTTCTCCAGTTCTGTACGTAGACAACAAGGCCATGATTGCCTTGTGTCAGGAGCACAAACTGGAGCATAGAACGAAGCACATCGCTCTGCGTTACTGACCTTGTGGCCATTTGCTTGTGCTCGGAATGTGTGGTGACTTCGTGATCCAGCCTGAGCTTGCTTTGTTTTTCTTGACTGGTCTTGTGACCACTTGTTCTCCCCCACTTTGCCTATGGGGTTGTGTCAAAATATTATAATGCTTACATTGTGTAGGTTGTAGTGTTAGGGTTAGTACTTGTACCAACTTTCTGTTCAATGCGTTCATTCTCGTTCAGTATTCTGACAGCAACCTCATATCAGACTTGCTTGGTAAAATTAGCGAGGGATTTTGGATTTAGGGGAATTTTGAGTGTGAACCTGATATGAGGATGGTTTGATTCCGTATTCCCCCGAATAAAAGACCCCCCTATAATAATGTACCTGGCGGGAGGGGGGGGTATATTATTCAAGGCTGTTTTCCTTATACCCCCTAATTTGGGTGAAATCATTATAAGACCCCCCCCCCCCAACCTTAATAGTGTTTTTTAGAGGCTACCGGTAATTTATGTCAATCAAGCAAGCAGTGGCACATGTTAGGCCACAGGAGTCACAAAATACAATCAACGCAACCTCTCAACACCCAGCTAGCTCCACTCTTCACCCACCACCTTGGAATGTGCCCCCGCCTTGCTACTCATCTTCGTCACCCGCCACCCACTCCTCTACCTCTGCCCTCTCATAGCGACCAAGGGCCCACCATTCATCCCCTTCGTCGCTCCACTCGTCAGCTTCGCTCGCATTTCCATCGTCGGTCTCGCTCGAGTCTGACTTAGCATGTACTTCCTCCTCATCGGCCTCCTCTGCTTCAACGGCTAGCACAGCCTCCTCCATCTCGACGGTCACATCGAGAGGGGTGACCACGGGGGGCCGGGTAGAACGGGTTGGGGACCAGTTCATCCTGCTCCTCCATCACGTCTTCCAGCACCTCCACCTCGCCGGAATCCCGCATGTGCGCGAGGATCAGATGATCCTGGCTCCCGTCCTCTTCGTTGGAGATGCCGCAGGTGAGGAATGCTTTCCTCACCATCTCCTCGGGAACGTCGGCCCACGACTCGTCAATCCACTTCAGGACGAGTTCAACCACTACAGCCTCTCCCTCGCCGTGTACGCATGCCGCGCCTTCTTCTTTATACGGTGGCGAGGCGAGGCGGGGGGCGCTGCATCCTGGACCTTCTTCTTGCCTTGCGGACATGACGACTGCGGAAATACGGGGACACGGACTGTGGGAAGGGGGGCCTGTGGGGTACGGTTGCTTTGAGAAGTCTCACTCGAAGACGGTACTGGCGTGGGCAGCACATGACGCGGCGTTGTCCTAACACGAGCAGGTTGACGGACGGTTGTTGCACGAGGGCGACGGGATTCTGACATGCCTGAATCGGGCGTTTACACCATGATGACACCCCTTTTCTGCCTAATGCTATGCCTGTCATTCTTCGCGTTCTGGATTTAATATGCCGTGCTAGTCCCACTATGCTAGACTCTGCCGAGCTGCGCTCCCCATTGCACAGAGGTGGGTCCGTTCCCTGGCGGTGTCAAATTCGCTTGTGCACGAGACATGACAGCGATAGCGCGACTCTGTGCTGAGAGCCTCACGTACCGGTAGCATTGAAGGGATGAGACGTTCGAGGCGGTCTAACACAAAGCATTGGACGTGGTACACGTTGGTCGGCCCCCAATCTGTAATGCTGGTTACCATTGAATATGGGCCAATGAGCATGAAGCATTTAGATGCTTTCTGGATTGTGCCTGGTTTCTCGGCTCAGGGCATTCGCGGGGTGTTTCCTCGTTTAAAAAACGCAAATCTGCATTACAACACCCTTGCATTTCATTAGCACTTCTAATAAGAGCGTATTCCTATCCTCGTATCAAGAAAACCTCATATCAAGATTGTACTTTTTGCCTGGTAAAAGTAGCGAGAGGTTTTGGGTTTAGGGGAATTTTCAGTGGGAGGTTGATATGAGGTTTTCTTGATACGAGGATAGGAATACGCTCTAAGACCCGGGTCTTTCAGGTTTTTTACAATTTAATAAGACCCCCCACATTTTTTTGTGAAATCAATAACACGCCCCGAGTTAACCACAACAGAAGGGCAAATGATGGGTTACCCTGTTTGAAATAAAATTCAAGTTAATATGTAAACTGGAAATTAATCCGAAGTACACACAATTTGACCAACAAATTTTGATGTGGTATTGCCTTATTTTTGCAATTCAACCGGTATATGCTAGGCACTGGATGGATGTGCATTTAATTTCCAATGTTGGACACAGGTCTGCATTGTCGCAGGATTCCAGAAATTCATCATCGAACCAGGTATAAAACTCAGCGCATGGGCTTACAATGGCCGTGTTACTGTATTTGCTACTACTGCTGTAGTATAAAAAAGCAAAATATTCACACCAGAAGTTTTACCCTTTAGTCAACAATGCCAAAATTGGAGAGCAGAATGTAGAGCTGGTCCGGAAAGTTCACCCCTGTGGCGTATTCTGTGAGCAGACCCACTGCCAGACCAAACATAGCCCATCTGTACGGACAAAATATATTCCAGATAGTGGTGACACATATGAGCAATGATCAGGGGGGAAGCGGGGGAGGGGGAGGGAGGAAGAGGCAAGCGGGAAAGAGGGTCAGAGAAGGGGAAGGGGATAAAGGTAAGAGGAGGACGGGAGGGGAGAAGGCAGAAGGTAAAAATGAGTTGTCAGCACAAAGAAAGAGGGGGGAGAAAGAACGAAAGCGTGTGAGGGAAAAAAATAGATTGGGATACGAAGAGGAAGCGGAGGAGAGTGAAGGGGGGAGGATTTGGATAAGTGAACAGTGAAGGACGCCTACACCAAGGATGGGAGCAACGCCACGATGGATACCCTAAGACTTTTGCATGCTCAATGTCCTTTAACTCACTGTGTTCACAACCTAATTGCTGTTCATGGGGATGCTCGGCGAAGCATGTGTGGATTCACGCCAGAAACAGAGGGCCTACATGGCAGCCAGAGTGTGTCGACCTAACAATGTCCAGCTCAAAAAGCTCCACGACGAATGCGATAACCAGCACCCGAATACCCGACTATCCGACGATCACAATGTACGGAACTCTTCTCATACCAAGGCGATGCTGACAGGGATTCGCAATGCGTTACGCGAACTCGTTGCTGTAGCTTTCTCTGGTCAGTTGGGTGTTGAATACTGCCCCGCCTCGGGGACTAAGGCTTCTTTAACCAAGCGAATACAAAAGCATTGTCGACAGCGCTCAGCTTCAGCAACTGTTGTGACGACGACGGTTCATGTGAAAGACCAAACGAGAACGAGAACGCGACAGCTAAAAGAATCGCAACGCACCGTCCGTTGCCGATCTCATTCTTGGTGGTGAAGCCGAGAACCTTCCCGTCCCGCACGTCCTGCTCGTACTTCTTCTCCTGGAAGTACGCCACCATCTCCTTTGCCGCCTGCCGCTGATACTCCACCGTCACGCCTGCCGGAACAGTCGCCGCTGCGGAGGACGGACTGGCAGGAGCCGCGGCTGCTGGAGCGTCCGCTGATTGCGGAGCGACGGGACCTGGTCGCCGGATGGGCTCAGCTTGGCAGATGACGGTGCATCGGCGTGTAGTGGAGGCTATTCTGGGAGGAGCGAGGGACAGCTTCAATGTGGATGTTGCTGACGACATGGAGCACGCGAGGGCCATGGCGTCGTGGCGTAACTGAAATGAGAGAGAGAATCCACTCAACAATCCAGAAATGAGACCTCCTGGCACACAGAAGACTGCAGAACGGTCTGGTGAAGGGACTAGACGAACAAGCTTCTGGAGAAATAAGACCCTTCACCTTCAACTCGCAACAGAAGGAAATTTCTCAATTTGGACAGATTACTCGTGGACTTGGAAGTCATTGAACGGGGAAGTGGGGCCAACCAACCAACAGCAGAGGCAGGCCACGCTTCAATCTGTCACCCGCTGGAGCCACGCGGGCCTTGGGATTGTCGCGCTCCATCCTCTCGGGACTGGATGCGAAAGGTCCACGTCTCCTTCGCCAAAAGGCCGAGTTGGGGTCTATGGTGGTGCCACGTCACAGGTCCACGGCAGATTCTTTCGCGATGTAGCGTGCACGAAATCACGAATCGAGTGACATCGAACGTAGCGATCTTCGGACACATTCAGCACTGGAAAACCTCGATGGTTACCATGTAGATATAAATTCAGAACTGATAGCGTGGGCTTCAACTAGTAAATGAAAATGTACAAGCAACAAATGGCACTAGTTCACAACTAGAATTAACGCCACAACTTCTTCAGAGACATGTTCTGCTCCGAATCCTTCTTCATGACCTTCCCCACTGCCATCTCAAAATCTTCCTGCGTCACATGGACCCTCCGCTCCCGTAGTGCAAACATGCCAGCTTCTGTGCAAACAGCCTGAAGGATGGATGTGGGAAGGGAGAAACGGCCAATGATACGGTAGAAGCTTCATTGCCAGCCATTTGAAATCAGATACATACCAAAACAGAAAAAGAAAACAAGAATCCCACAAGAAATCGAATTATCCTGCTACTAATGCTTTTCATGGCAGTAGATCTCACCTTGAGCTCAGCACCACTTGCTCCATTCATCTTCCCAGCTATCTTGGAAAGGTCAATGCCCCTCATTAAGTTCATCTTGCGAGAGTGGATCTTCAGAATGTCCACACGAGACTGAACCAGACAACAGAACAAATATGGTAATCGGAAAGGGGTAAAACTTCCCAGCAAAATTCAAGTAGAAAGGCAAAAGTTCAAGAAAATAATAATCAGAGAAAACCAGTCACACAGTAACAACACTAATTGCTAGAAACCCAGTCATTAGAAAAAACACACACCTCCCAAACATCCACTCACCTCTTCGCTTGGGTTGGGGAACTCAATCTTGCGATCGATGCGGCCAGGCCTGAGCAGAGCTGGATCCAAGATGTCGATTCTGTTGGTTGCCATCAGCACCTGTTCAGTGGCCGTCACACAAGATTGATGAGAGGCTGTACGAATCAGATTGTAAACACATGTCACGCAGCCTTCCTATCTTGAAACAAATGACAGCAAGAACACAAGATGAGCGCAAAAGAGCGCAATCGCTTTCTAAATAAATCTGACAGTCGGTAATGGAAATCACATTCAAGCAGGACAAACAGCAGCTGGTGAACCTCGTTACTGAACACGGGCCACGCGAATTGCAGCAGCACAGCATTCCTCGACGGCACACCTTGATTTGATTGGAGGCCTCGAAGCCGTCGAGCTGGTTGAGCAGCTCGAGCATGGTGCGCTGCACCTCGCTGTCCCCGTTGCCACTTCCCGACTCCATGCGCGCTGACCCGATGCTGTCAATCTCGTCCATGAAAATTATTGACGGCGCATGCTCTCTGGAGGAAAAGAAAGGAGGAGATGTATGGATTGCCAGTTGAGAAACGATATGCAGAGACTGGAAATGGCGAGGTGGAACGTTACCACCGCAACCTACTGCAGAACGCATGTCTGGCCAACGCCAACCCACCTGGCCATGACGAAGAGTTCGCGCACCATGCGAGAGCCCTCGCCAATGTACTTCTGCACGAGCTCTGACCCCGACACACGGATGAACGTGCAGTCCGTGTGATGCGCCACCGCTCTCGCCAGCAGCGTCTTGCCCGTGCCGGGGGGACCATACAGCAGCACTCCCTGAGACGCCAGACAACAATGATCAATATGAAGTTATCCAAACAAAGTATAGGAAAAAAACAGGAACCCAAAACTGCCGTTTCTTTTCACAACCAATGAAAAATTGTTAAGCCAGTCGAGAATCAGCTGCATGGCCAGACCTTACCTTGGGCTGGGCAATTCCAAGGCTCTCAAACAGCTCCGGGTGCTTGATGGGCAGCTCGATCACCTGCATGCGACAGAGGAAAGAAGGAAGACTAACAGCATTGAACCCTCCAAGGCCCAGGAAACGAGCACGTGGGAAAAGGAACATATATGAACGTAAAAACATCTGCTCACCTCCTTGATCTCCTTGATCTGCTGGTCCAGGCCACCAATCATGTCGTAGGTGGAGTCGGGCACCTTCTCGACGCGCATGAGCGACACGAGTGGGTCAACCTTGCTGGGCAGCACCAGGTGCAGCACGTAGCTGTCGTTGCGCAGCGCCACGCGCGTGCTCGGCGTCAGCTTCGTCAGGTCAATGCCCTTGTCCACATCCACCACGTACTTGCCCTCGGGGTGCACCTGGGGGGGGCGGAGAAACACAGACACTTAAAAGACAATGTCTACAATACATCGAGCAAGGTGTACCTGACAAGGAGCAGAGTCTGCTCGATGCCCTTGTCTACGTCCACCACGTACTTGCCCTCCGGGTGCACCTGGTAGAAAGGAATAGAGATGCGCGGCATACAATGATTGAGAAAGTATATGGCAATCAACAAACTCCGGTCAATGCCCCCCTGCCACGTCCACCACGTACTGCCACGTCCACCACGTATCCGGGTGCATGTGGTGGGGGTGATGAAAGGCCAAAAAGGACCTAAAAGAAGGAGAACAAGCTAAGTGGGGTACACGAATGACATTTCATACAGGTTATACATTGAAAAGCACGGCGAGCAGGTGGCTTGTGAGTCAACTTAGACCATACATGAGCTGCTGGCGGGAAGGGGACGCACCTATAACGAGCACCTTGGTTTTGTCCATGACCTTGACCACCTCGCCCCAGCTCCTGCAGCGAGTCGACCCAAAAGTCACCTCCTTAAGAGAACATAATGAGCTGTTGGCGCGGACGCACCTTGACGAGCACCTTGGTCTTGCCCATGACCTTGACCACCTCGCCCACATACGACCCCGGCTCCTGCAGCAGCTGCAGCTCCTCCTTCAGCGCCCGCACTGCACGCACAGTGGGTGGATCCATTGGGGGGGGGGGGGGGGGGGGGGGGGAGGACGTTCATGCATGAGATGGGAGGTTGCAACAGTTGCAACAGCACAGCACAGACTCGCGAGTGCAGCAGCTGCAGCTCCTTCTTCGCCCGCACTGACGCACAGGGATGGGTGCATGAGATGCACATACATAGATGGAATGGAAGGTGGAACGGATGCACGGAAGTTGGTCCACAAAATTGCATCAAGGACGGTCAGTTGGTGGGCGGAATCAAGAAAGAATACAGGGAGAAACGGAGAACGCGCACAATTGCGGGGTGCGGGGCAGGGAGGGACGGGACACACGGACGCAAAGACGTTTGCACGCAAATACATAAAAGAGGCTTCTAGACGAGGGAGTGCACGGACACACGAACTGGCATGTCTGTTGCTCTCATGCTGAACGGATTAGCCACGAGATCCAGATATCGTGGCTGACGCATCAGACTCGTGACTGAGCCGGCTTCACGTTGCGTGAAAACGCCCGTTCTGACCGAATTCACCGTAATATATTTTGGAATTCCAAGAATCCGAGAAACAATCAGTGCCTTGTCGGACAGGAAATGAATGGCACCCAGTTCAGACACCCTTTCAGACCGATCTGTACGTAGTCTGGATTGCAACGCGTCTCAACTCAAGTCTTTAAAGCGCGAATCTACCTTTCGCGTTCAGCTCATTTCGCTGAGCCTCGAGCCGACGAAGATTCTTGGTCTTCTCTCGGAGGTTGACATCGATCTGCTCGATTGCTCCTCGGTAATACGTCGCAAGGCCGTTCTTCCCGCTCTCCACGCCCATCGCAGCGACGAAGTATACACGGACAAGATAGTTGAGAAATAAATCGCGAACGACGTGACCGGCAAAAAAGAGAAATCGATTAGAAGCTCGTCAATCCAGCCGATTTGAGCGGTACTTTGCTTGCTAAGCTGGCTGCAGGATATTTGGATTCGGTGGAATTCAACAGATCGCAAGTTTTGTTAACGATTCTTGATTAGAGACAGAACCGTACTCAACCCATACATGGTAAAATCAAACCACAGAAGCTTCCTGATATGCCAATCAACCTTCAAAACAGAAAGAAACGATTTTTCTCACTGAGAAAAAAACGGTCATAAAATATGCTGAACGGTCATTCTCCACAGATGAAAAAAATATCAAAGTAGGATAACGGTATGCGTAATATTCATACAAAAATCGTCTCATTGTACGATAAAATGCATTTCTCTAGAGCGCATCTTTGTAGCAGTCAGCTGTTTTCTCCACACAAGGTATGCTGACTCGTACCTTCCCTGGCGTTCGGGCATTTTCAATTCAACACCTCGTTCGTGGTACATACCTTAGCAAACCGAGCCAGCTGGTTCAAAGGTATGGCAAGCTGTAACACTGTCTAGACCAATCACATACTCGACTCAGGGAACGAGGTGTGGTACCGTACCTGAGGGACAAACTGCCGTGGAGTTGACCCGTCGTTGAGTGCAAACAACGAGAAGCTATAAAAAGCCGTCGCTCAGACATGAATGATCACCAGCTTTACCATGGCTTCCAAGACACTGCTTCTCGTCTGCTTCACGCTACTCGCAGTGACATCCGCCTTCGCGCAGCGCGGCCCGCCTGGCGGAGGCCCACCCGGCGGTCAGGGCCCACCAGGGGGTCCGCGCAGCGGAGGCCCTGGAGGGCGCGGCGGACCTGGCGGCGGCCCTGGTGAGGAGCCGCGCGGTCCTCCGCTGAACCTGACGCTCGTCGGCAATCTGACGGCCGACGTTGGCGCGCAGTTGAAAAACTGCTCCGCGGACCCGACCTTCGTTGATGGCCGCTTCCACCTCACCGTCTTCAAGTAAGCATCGCCCCAACAATAACCCCCGTCTCCTTCTTCTCCAGGAAACCCTACGAAGAATGAAAATCAATAATGAGAAATGCTTAGGCGGTTTATTTTCCTGTCCCACTCGTGTCAAAAGTCGCCCCGTCACTTACCATACTCCCATCTATATTTGCCTCCCGCGCCCTCCTTCCCGCCCCGCTCGTCCCTGCAGGAACTCCACGGGCAACTACAACCTCCTCGTCGACGCGCTTCTCGTCGGAGGGGACGCCGCCGCCGGCCTGCCCGACTCGATCGCGATCGTGCAGGGCGCCGTGTGCGACTCGGCCGCGTCCGCCGCCGCCGTGCTCTCGCTGCCCTTCGCCGCCTCCGATTGGCTGCAGCGCGCCGGCTGGTGGCTGCTGCACGCGGAGGCGCGCCTCGACGCGTTCCTCGAGAACGCCGACGCGACCACCGTCGACGCGCTGCTCGCGCTCCTCCCCAACGCGTCGCTCCCGCGCAGCAACGGCGGCGGGCGCAACGGTGGAGGCAGTTCCGGGGGCGCAGGGGGCGCGGGAGGCGCGCGGAACGGGCAGGGCAGCAGGCGCTTGGGGCTGGACGTGGGGAGGGTGGGGAGGATGCTGATGCGCGCAATGGCCCGCAGCCCCGCCAAGCAGGGTGGGCAGCAGCAGGGCGGGCAGCAGCAGGGCGGGCAACAGCAGGGGGGTAACGGAGTGAACAGCACGGTGAGCGGATATGCTGTGCTGGCTGGGAACAGCGCGTCGAGCGTCATCTGGGGCGGGCAGCTCCTGGGAGTCAAAGCCCCCTCTGCTGCTGCTGCAGCGTAATGTGAAATCTGTGAAATCCCCTCTGCCGCAGCTGCAGCATGATTTGCCAATGCTGGACAGGAGTGGCGGAGTGTGACGGTGTGGCCGTGATTCCACTGCTTCAAGTCATGGAGTATGGGCATTTGACTTGGGGTTGAAGTGGGTGCTGAAATGGTTAGTGTTGTTAGTGTGTAGTGTGCATGTGTGGGTTCTGAGCATGGGGGCAGGAATGCTGGCAAGCTGCAATGACCTGCCTTGCCAGCATTCCTGCCCCTTGTTTAAAAAAACAATGACGGCTACAGGGCACAGCGAACATAGTACAGGGTTGGTCGACTAAGAGTGTCTTTCAGCAGGGTGAACTGTGAGGCAAACTGACGAACCAGGCGAAGTGACCAGATGTCAGTGGGAAGGATACGTTGGTACTACTGACACCATGAGCATGAGCTGTTGGGCAAGGCGAATACGGTATATACTTTAGTCCCCTTGGCAAGGGGGTGCAGAGTCACAAATGAGTCTGTCCGCCCTTCTCATGGTGAATGGATTAGCCACGAGATCTAGCTATTGTGGCGGAGAGATCAGAATCACGACTGAAAATCATGACGCGTAAAAATCTTCTTCTCTGACTAGAGTATTCGACGACCAATTTGTGTTCTAAACTTTCGATAATCCGAGAGATGATCACCGACCTGCTGGAGGGGAAATAAGTCAGCACGCAGTGCAATGCGTTTCAAGTCTAAGGCTACACTGGACTAGCTCATCTCGCTGAGCCTCGCACCGACAAAGAATCTTGTTCTCATCGTTGTTCTCATCGATGTGCTGGGCTGGATTGCTTCCCGTAATACGTTGCAAGCCGTTCATCCCGCTCTTGACGCCCATCGCAGTGACGGAAGTACACACTTACGATAATTGCTAAAGCAGATACGTCTCAAATTAAAAATGCAACATAATAATTGTTGGTGCAACCCTACGGTTTGCACTCGGCTTGTTGTCCGTGTGCGTGAATGTGTGTGTGTATGGAATGGTATGAGGGCATGGGATAATATATATTTCATGCTTATAATTGTGTGTGAATGTTGAGTCATGATGTCGAGTGTGTGTGTCGAGTCAATAGCAAGTTATCGCTAGACGCGTGTTACGCGGTCGTTTGTGTCTCGCGCGCGGTTTCTATTTTGTCGTGCGCGGTTTCTATTTTGCCCTGTGTCGAACGTTCGGCGTGTCGCAGGTGTGTGCAGCAGACCCATCAAGAACTCAAGGATGAGTTTGTGATGAAGAGCCCGAGCCTTGGTGTCAAGCCTCAAGTGATTTCGAAGCTTGCCAAAAGGGTACACCTCAAGATATTGAAGATAGTTACATTACTTTGTGTAGTGTAACATTTCACTTGGTGTAGGCCCTAGTGAAGGGTAGTTTCGAGACCCTTCGTGGTTGGGGACAGTGTGGCACTGTTCCACATCACTGTACCTCGGCTCTTGGGGTTTGTAGGAGCTGGGAGTCATTCCCAACTCGTAACTCTTCCTATCTTGTGTTCTAAGACTATAGTGGCTGCCATAGTACCGTTCGTTCAAACTGACGCTGTGTCGTCAATTCTTTATCAAATCGTGCAATCTAAATTGCTAATTGTAGACGACGTGAAGACGCTCCAGATCCAATTTGAATCAAGTCATTTGCAGCTGTGAGCAGAACGCTATCAACGTTTGAAGCCGCTGTGCAGAAATCCGTCTGTGCTCTCTATCTTTCGTTTTAGGCACATTCAAGCCTATTGTGACTATAACAAGTGGTATCAGAGCCCCTTGGAGCAGTTTCGACAATGTCTGGACCTGAGGAAAGGGGTGACAGAGGTGCTGGTGGCAGTGGAGAAGCTCAAGCTCAAGGCCAACCCCGTGATTCAGCCATGGCGCCCATGCAACCAAGTCTTGGCCCACCTAGGGATGAGCCTAGGGTGTTTGGGCTTGACAAGTTCAACGGTGACAACTTTGCTGAATGGTCCTTCAAGATGGAGAACATCTTTGACCACTATGACCTGCTGGAGGTGATGGAAGGAACGGAGAAGCGCCCCGAGAACGACCCGGAGAAGAGCCCGTGGGTGCGGAAGAGCGCACAAGGCTATCTCTTACTTGGGCAAGCGTTGGGGAGCAGTCAGATCCGTCACATCAAGCCATTCCAGCGTGAACCAGAGAAAGGACCAAAGGCATGGGCTGCTCTCAAGGGTGTACATGCTCCTGCAACAGCGGCGGTAGCGGTGGTGTTGGAACGGCAAATGGCGGCACTACGAATTGAAGAAGACGAAGCGGTTGAAGAAGGGGTGCAGAAATTCTTCGACTTGTTGACGCGGCTTGAGGGAGCTGATTTGAACTACAGTGAGCTCCAAAAGAAGACCAAGTTGCTGGCCTTACTCCCAGAGTCATGGTCCTCGCTCATCATCAACCTTAATCGCGACTTGCCCCGCCTCTCGCTTGAAGACGTGAAGCGAGCTATCCTTCAAGAGGATTTCCGCCGCCGTGAGTTGGCGAGTGCGCATGGCGCTGGGGCAGCGAGCATCGGCCGTGGATATGGTCGAGGAAGAGGCAGAGGACGAGGGGGAGGAAGGTTTGGTGGCAGCAACTTCGGCGGAGGCCGCAGGAGTGGCAGTTACGGCAGCGACGACAAGAGCTACGGACGCGGTCGCGGCCGATTCGACGGCGAGTGTCACTATTGCCACAAGAGCGGACACATGTGGCGCGACTGCTACAAACTCCCTGATGGTTGGACCCCTGCTCAAGGCCAAGAGGGTAGAGGAGCAGGAGGAGGGAGAGGACGAGGCCGTGGAGGCCGTGGCGGTCGCGGTGGCGGAGCTGCAAACATGAAGAGCGGAGACAACGACAAGGACCCGAGCGACGATCGATACCCGGGTCTATTCTACTACGTGTCGACGCAAGTACCGGCTGGTCCAGAGAAGGATGAAGGCTTTGAGGAGCCAGCAGCTGTGGGGAAGGTGACCCTACACCCCCTGGACTATTGGGTGATTGATAGTGGCGCTACCTATAGCATGACACCTCGCCCGGACTTGCTCACCGAACTCGAGCCGTCACCGGTGAAGCATGTCACATCGGCTTTGGGGCAGCGAGCAGAGGTGAAAGGCATGGGCAAGGCCATGTTCAAGGGTGCTGATGGGAAGATGGTGGGCCTCAAGAACGTGCTTTGGGTGCCCAGCCTTGCTGCAAACCTGATTTCCGTGCGGCGGTTGGCAAAGGCCGGCATGGACACGAACTCGAAGGGAGCCAAGACCTACACCGCAAGGCTTGGCGATCGAATTCTTTGGGACCTTCATGAGGACAGGGATGTCTACAACGAGATATGGCAGATCCCAGTGGTCCCTATGCCTAAGGAGAGGCAAGTGGCAGCAAGCATCAGCACCAAGGATGGAGCGGTCGGTAGCGACGATGGCGCGAACGGTCGCGCTAAGGAGAATGAGCTCAAGAAGAGCAAACCTGGAGGGACCAGCAAGTTCAGTGAACCTAAGGAGAGTGGTGCAGCAACCAAGGAGCAGCAAAAGGGTGAGGAGAACCCAGAGGCAGCAGCGGAGGAGGACTACGGAGAGAGTATGTGGGGCGCTATTGCGAGCGCGGCATTCTCCAATCCAACTTCGGCTACGGGGGAGTGTGATTGGCTCACCTTGCATCGGCGCATGGGGCATGTGGCCCTGCCCATCTTGCAGCAGCTAGTGAAGAATGAGATGGTTGCTGGCATACGTGTGAAGGGGGAGCCCGATGAGGTGCTTGGCTGCCCGACGTGCATTCAAGCCAAGTTCACCCGGTTTCCGTTCCCTAGTTCGGAGGCAACGGCAAAGGCACCGCTTGATGAGGTGGTGATGGACGTGGTGGGCCCCCTGAAGCTTGGAGCTGCTGGAGCTGAGTATTTTCTCACCATTGTCGACGTCTACACCCGCATGACTTGGGTGTACGTGCTGGCCAAGAAGAGCGACGTGGCTGAAACGTTGAAGACGGATTGGTTCCCGATGGTGGAGCGGCAACAAGACCGTCTAGTCAAGTCAATCCGCACCGATCGAGGGGGAGAGTTCCTGAGCAAGGAGTTTGGGTTGTGGCTGAAGAAGAATGGTATTCGGCACTCCCTCACCATGCCATACTCCCCTGCAATGAACGGCATCGCCGAGCGAGCGAACCGCACAATCACGGAGGCGGCACGCGGGTTGCTCATTGAAGCCGGGCTACCCGACTATTTCTGGCCTGATGCGGTGCGGAGCGTGTGTGTGGCCAAGAACAGAGCCTTGACTCATGTGGGAGCAGACAAATGGGTGCCCTATGTGGAGTGGCTAGGAAGGAAGCCAAAGGTGGATATGCTTCGGGTGTTCGGGTGCATGTGCATGGCGCTCGTGCCTAAGCATCTTCGGCACAACAAGCTTGGTGCCAAGGCGGTGTGGGCCGTGCACTTGGGCATGGCTCAAAACAGCAAGGGATGGCTTCTTTGGGACCCATTCACCAAGAAGTTCTTGGTGAGCAGGGACTGCAAGTTCATGGAGAACTTCATGTACAAGGATTGGAAGGCGGAGAATGAGGCGAAGATAGGCGTGCGGTTTGGGGAGGTGAAGAGTTCCGGTTTGGAGCATGTGGAGCTGCCTTTGGAGCTGAGCAGCGGCAGCACAACCACAAGGCAATCCTCCCTTGTGAATGGGGGAGAGGAGGCCAATGATGCAGAGGAAGAAGAGGAGGAGGTGCAGCAAGTGAGCGAGCGTGCACCGTCACTCCCTTCCCGTACTACGAGTGCTCCACGGATTCGAGCCACACCGCAGCAACGCCAAGGCCTTCAAGTCCCTGCAGCTGAGGAGGAAGCAAGGGGGAAGAGGAGAGTTCAACCCCCTAATAGGCTGACCTATGATGCGCCGGGAAAGCAGGGCAAGACAGCCCTGGCCGGAGCGGCAATGATGGTCGGAGACGACGAGGAGAGTGACTACGAGGAGTGTGCCTTCGCGTTCATCTCTCCGGTGGAGATGCCGGGAGAACCAGCAACTCTCAAGGAGGCTTTGGAGA